TTGAAAATCCATTGATGTTATGATTCCATAACCTAAGATACTGTTTGGTTTAGTGTTGAATATGCTGGCTTAGAAAGCATGAGATTGTGAGTTCTGGGCCTCCCTTAGAAATAATGGCTGACTAGGTGACCTCTCTCTCAGCCCAACTCAGCCCCTAAGTTGTTGCTGTGATGAAAATGGGAGGTGGGAGAATTAGATGTTTGCCACCTTAAATTGTATGTATAAAAAAGGTAGGCTAACAACAACCTAGAGCTGGATGAGATTCAAGAAGGACTAGTGTCTAGCAGCTATGTCCACTGACAGGCTATGAACCTAAAAACTTGAGTAGAAGATTCTGAAACTGACAATTGTTCAATTTGTGATAAACTGTTCATGCAGATTATATACACCTATGCTTTTATCCTATATTAGAAATGTAAGAGAGAACATTAAAAGTACGTTACTGAAAAGAAAAGAAAAGAAAAGAAAAGAAAAGAAAAGAAAAGAAAGACCAGGCAGGCCAGTTTCCTAGCATATCAATTTATCATTGCAAAAGACAATTTATTGTTTGGAATAAATAAAGACATATAGCAGAGATGTCCTTTTTTCCTTAGAAAAGTCATTGTGACAATTCTTGGAGAAGCTGGCTTGACAATTGCATAGTGATGGTTGGTATTTTGATATTTTTTTTAAATCACTCCCTCTGGATACACTTCAGACTAGGGTTCTGTGTAGATGGTTAAGTCTTGTGCCAGAGATCAAAGACAAAGAGCCTGTCTAATTCTATTTTATTCCTTTCAATTAGAATATCTATACATCCTCAAGGCAAATGGCTATACTTTTATGTTCAAGGAAGACTAGATCTAAAGCTACAAGAGTTGAGCTGCAAAAACCTGGATAACCTCTAGATTTTATTTTATATTTTATTTATTTCATTTGTGTGCCACCTGACTCTTAAGTACTAGGTGACAGTAAAGAGTTAGTTTTCTAAATTTGATGTTAGTGGCCATCCAGATCTTTGCAACCCAAGATGCTTGTTTGGAATCACACTGTTTCCCATAGTAAACATGGCCAATACTGTTTCATTTCCATAAGAATATACTAAACCACGGTCAGTCCAAATAGTTCACAAAACTTCTGCAATGAAATGTTTTGTGGCAAGTCTAAAACAACATGCATTTCCATTTCATGCACATTCAGAATAAATAATATAAAAGAAGGTTCAAAACAATTTATAAACAAACAGTTTAGAATGAAACTGTGCATCTTCTTATGATTATGCATTGGCCTTCCTACTTCACAAAATCTACTTCTTTGTAAAATAAAACAATATGGGATAGACATATCAACACTAGATGGATTTGCAATTGGTTGACCAATCACACTCAGGGGTAATCCTTACTGGAACTACATCTACATGGAGGGAAGCATGCAGTGGGGTACCACAAGGTTCGGAATTGGGCCCAGTATTCTTCCACTTCTGCATAAATAATCTATTGTAGACAAGGGGATAGAAGGGGACCTCATCAAATTTCCAAGCTGGTGTCAAGCTTCCAAGTAATGTCTCCATAAAGAATAGTACAAGGCATTCATATTCCAATAGTCTTTTTATTAGGAACATATCAAATTGGCTATGTCTCAGTGTAATTCCGGCTCTAGCCAAACCCCAGAATTACACACAGTAAAAAGCAAAAGTTTGACCCCCCCCCCCGAGTCACATTCTCCAATAAGCTCACAGTCCATCTGTCCAGTGACTCCAAACTCCATCTTCAACCATCTGCAGGCACATCCTCTGTTCCCCCGGGAAAGAATATCACCTAGTCATAACAAACCCCCTTATCTCTACTATCCTTCTTCCTGCTACCAGAATGTGGCGAGCATGAAACACCTTTAATCCCCTTACAGAATATTAAAGAAAGTTTATGAAAGAGTAAGAATTGACTACAATAACACATGGTTACACACATGACAGCTTCAGGGTTGACAGCTGGTGGGAATAGCTAATACTTTAAAACATAAGATGTTCCAAAGATGTTTTTTAGAAAGATAACAGCTGCCATCAGCCTCAAGGACTGAAGAATAGATTCTACAGGCTGTGTAAGTACAGGATGATTTGCCTTAGAGGCTGCAAGCTACAGGCAGTTGTGATGAGGGACAGGATATTGACAAGGACCAAAACAGCTGTGGACATAATAGTCTGGTTAAGAGAAATATGCTACCTTCCAAGGATTCACATTTATGTGACAGAAAAGCCCCTAAGACCTTTTAAGATCATTGACAAACATTCCTTTTTACAGATCCATGTGGACATGAATGACACAGACAGATATTGGGTTAAAAACATTACAAGTGACAATGAAGCATTGAGCAAAAGGGGGAAGGCTGGGAGTAGAAGTGGCATTTTCTTTACTCCCTGAGCTCATGAACTGAGATAAATACTGGAAGCAAACAAATGGATACACAGATGGTACCAATGGAAAGAATTTGGACTCTCTGTTTATGGGACATATTTGTGATAAGAAATTCCTGGAAAGAAATGGCCTACATGAAGTGGGGATAGTATGTTTGGAAGACACCTTGCAAACCTAATGCAGAGGGCTTTAAACAGAGCCTCCAGAAAAGTCACTTACTTCCAGTACTACAAATATGACAGAAAATGACATAGAATATGGAGATGTCCAATAATGAACATATGAGTAACCAAAAGTAATATATCAAATTGTATGTTTTCATCACTTGTATAGACATGCATGGATGATGGGAAACAAATGGAAAGAACTAGATCTCTTATTATAGAAAGCTGGAAATGATTTAGTAGGCATTACAGAAATGCAGTGATAAAATTCTTAAATGGTTTACAAGAATCAAAAATTACAACTGAAAAAAAAAATAGACCAGACAAAAAATGGAGAGTAAGGGAAGGAAATGCATGAGGAATTTGAACACAAGGATTCAATTAAAAATATTTTAAAATATTACAAAGGAAAGGAAACAGACTGCCAAGACAGGCAGAACTGAATAATACCTTACTGGACAAGATTCCAGAATCTTTTGGAATGACCAATATGGTAATGTAAGACTATCAAGGTAAGTTATTAGAATTTTGCAAGCCTGTCTCTTACCTTTCCTCTCTTTTATACTCCAGTGAATCAGGAAATAGACAGTCTGAATACTTACCCTGTTTTTCTGCTTTAAATCATGTTTTTACACCTGTAGTTGTTAAGAGCTTCTGAAATTTCTCCAAGACTGCTTAATACTGAACATCAAAGGCCCTTATCGCAAACTTCAAGGTAGCAAAGATGATTGAGGCTGCATTCCCTTGACTTGTTGATATATGCCAGCCAACAATTTTACTCCATGTGAAAAGAGATTAAAAGTTGGCTTTTATGGAATGTTTACTCAATTTAAGAGATCACCTAAACATTTCAAATGTAAGAAGTTTGCTTTGATATGAAATTCTTGTAAATAACTCATTTTACATCATTTGCATATTTGACACAAATATAATTTCTGTCATTTGTGTAATGATGTTACACTTGTGTAATGACATTGCTTAGATGTATTCTCTAATTTAACAGTTAGGAATAACATTAATTTTTTTATGTGAATTGAGATTTCACTTGCATTTATTTCTAAAGTACTACACACCTTTGTTGATATGTATTACTCATATACATAAATTTGTACATGTTTTGAATAAATTAAATTTTAACTTAGACTTTTGTATCTGGATCATTTTCTGAAATATAAATTATTCCAGGTTTCATCAATAATGTGATGAATTACAACCTAATACTATATTTAGTATTATGTATTATGAGTACTAAAGTTTGGAACTGTATTCTGCTGCAGTTGAAGAAAGCCAAAAACACTAATGAACGTATTTTTTAAAAAAAGTCTTGCAATCCATCAGATTTATATGAATTACTGCAGTCAAGAGTAACAATTTCACTGTAGGCAATTTTCATAATTTATTTGGATATCTAGCAAATGTGGATATTCCAATAAAGTTTCAACTTAAGAAATGTTTTAACATTACCGAACTGAAATGATTCATTATTTGGACAAATATTCTTCTAAATGACCACATTTAAAATATAGGAGTTTCAGTGGATTATGAACAATGGGCAAAATAAGTTGATATATATATATGTTCATTCTAAATCAAAAGTAGCGTACAGTAATATTATTTTCCTAATTCTTCTAAGTACCAAGAAATCTACTGTTGAATTTTACTGTTAATAAAAATGGGAAACGAAGTATATGTTATTCCACACTTTTAAGAATTAAATAGTATGCATATTATATATACACTGTTAGTGGTAATCTGTTCCTTAGATCAGAAGCGAAATGATCACTAAGGGATCCATGTGACTGAGAAATGCGCGAAGTTCAAGGTTGCTGTTGTATCATTTGGATAAAATTTGCTTGGCAAAGCCAGTTTTATTGTCACTCTGGCGTGCACTATCACACACAGAAAATTGGTTAAAAATTGCACATTAGTTGAAAAATGATTTTCTTTTAAATTACCATTGCATTTGCATAGGGTCACTAAATGATGTAGCCCCTAAACAAGGAATAGCTGAATGTGTGTCTGTGTGTAAAAAAAACCCAAACAAACTTTGAATAGTCTGTTTCATTTTGAATAGATTCCCATACATTTTCATATAACAAGGTGAGCCATTAGTATACGAGAAATTCAGTTATATTGTATTGGTATATTATATAAAATTATTTGATGTATCTCCAGTTATTGTAATGGTGGAATTTCTTCAACAGCTTCCATGAAAACTTGCACATAGAAAGCCTTAGCAATTCTGCACATCTTACATTAAAAGAATATCAACGTCCTTTTACAACTACCTTATGGAATTTGAAATTAGACATACTGTAAACAAATGTTTATATTTGCTGAAAAAGTGGTTTCAAACAGCTAATAGAAGATCTGTTCGATTATTGCAACAATTTTTCTTCCATCCAAATCACAACATTTAGTACTAACAGATTCAAAGAACAAGGAATGACTGTTAGGAATACCATAAACATTTATTTACATCATTCACACAGAGCTTCAGTATACATCTAATTTACTAAGAACATACATCCCTCTGACACATGGTTAGATTTGGCTAGCTGCAAGGAATTCAAACAAATAAATTACACAATTTACATTAAAAAAAATTGGCCCACAAAAGAATTTCAAAAAATAATAATAATCACAAATTAATATAAGCAGAAAATACCCTGTTGAAAATAGATTAGAAATTTAGTGCGCTATTTCCATAGGCTTTGACCTTACAATTTTTCTGTATATACAAAAGGTACAGTAAAATGTTAGTATTTATTGCAACAAAGATGTCATAATACATTTCATATCCTCAACTTTGATATTGGCTTCATGTTCCTTCCAAACAGGCTTCTTTTGTTGCTCCACAATTGAAATATTTCTCCACAAGGCACATACTTATCTATAAAGAAAAAGAAAAAAAATAAGAAAAAACTGCTCATCCAAATTAAGTTACATCTTTTTAAATTCAATATTCACAAAAGCAGGATCTTATATTATCCAATGTGTTATACTAGCTCATAGTATATCGTAGCCAGAGATTCGTTTGAACCCAGTCCTGCTTATTGTTTCATAAATCATGATTTGAACTCGTCCAAAGCAGATTGGTGTTCTCTTACCAATTCCATGCCTAGTTTGATCTGTATTCCTATTCTGTTTTCCATAGTGATGATTTTGATAGGTTGAGCTACTTTTTCTTTTTATATAAAGACAGATGCAAAGAACAAAGAAGTGTTGCTTTCTTTCTGCTACTTATCACTTTCTTGCCATCATCTCCCATTAGTGGTCTGATCATTTCTTTGACTTTTTTTGTTCTTTACATATTGAAACATTTTGGAGAGGTATTTTTGGCATTTGTTGCATGCCTTAATTCATTTTATACTTTCCTTTCTAATCCTCAGTTTACTGGAAATCTCTGTGCAATCATGCTGGTTTGATCTGGAATCTTGTTTTTCTTTTTTGTGGTATTGTTTTTGTTTGAACCTTTATTATCTCGTTTTCAGAGTTTCCCAAGCATCCTGTTTTTTCCCCCTAGGATTTCCATTAGGTTAGGTTAGGTTAGATTTATTAGATTTATATGCCGCCCTTCTCCCAAGGACTTAGGGCGGCATACAACATTAAAAGAAACACATAATACAAAAAAGAAAAACAAGATTCCAGATCAAAC